AACTTTCGGTCAAACCAAGCGGAAACAGAATTTCAACACCTCTTTCTTTCACAAATTTACCCTTTTCGGTTTTTGTATGAGTACCTAAACACAAATTGTTAATGACATTTCCAGAAATAGTTGAAAAACTAGGTGAATAACATACCTATAGCACTGTACCATGGATCCACAGCAAAACGTATCTTCTTAAATTCACTCTTAAATTCACTCTTCAATTCAATCTTCAATTCATCAAAACATCTCTTTAATTCTGTGAGATAAACGAAGCGTTAATATATAATCAACATTTTTAAATAATATCAGAAAAATTACCTTGTTCTCCGCCTGAAAGTGGAGTAATATTGGTTAGATTTTGAAAGACGAAATATAAAAACAAATTAAAAAGTCAAGCCATAATACATTCACTCGCGTTGACTATTTTATTACGACTCACTTACCAGCAACGGGATGTTCTACGATAACGTGAATGTGTTTTTGGGGCGGGTTTGAGGATAAGAAGCAGGAAAGAAAAGCACAAGATTATATAAGTATTCGGTATTATTGACAAGTATGACAGTCGGGTAAATCATAGGAACGCACCAGAAACAGACTTCTTCGATAGCCCTTTCAAGTATAAAAGCTTAGCATTATTTGTCTTGCAGAGATTAAGTAATTTTTCCACATCAGCTAATTTAGTACCCTTGTCAGTAAGGTATACGTGTAAATTGGCCTCCTCATCCTCACTTAATTTATTAGGCTCTTCAGAGAGACTTTGAACAGTATTAACAATATTATCAAGCGACATGTTATTTAGCTATATATGATTTTTGCGTAAAAAAATAGTTCCACAAGTGGTTCGAAAAAAAAGTGATGTTTTTTAATTAGCGACCAATAATATGTAAAGAAAAAATTTTTTTATATATATCCGATTTGCTAATTACCCTATATTTCCTATCGATATGTGCGATGCTAGAGTTACACATGTTAAAAAACTTCGAGAATGCATCATTATGGCTCAATCGAAGAATTCCGCCTTCACATGACCATTGTATTTTATACTTGCGTATTTGCGATGTATTCCAAAAATCCTGGCTTCTCATGATTTCATCCTCGGAATATATTTATTGATATGTTGTCATCCATTTTCTTGTCACATCTCGATCCACGAAGCATCAATGCCGAACAATGATATCGAATGGTGTCGTTATACATTTTTCTCAATACATCATTTATTCTTTTTCGAGCTAGAGAGGAAAAATGAATTTGTGATACTTGCTATTTTTGGTTTCCACATCACAGAAAATTATTCACTGCGATAATGCTACTCAACTGAGATACGCTCATTTCTTATACAATTATATATGAAAAAAGCTTATCGTGACTAAATCGCATCTTCATCGCGCCTATATTGCATCTTAATTATAGAGATATAAGAGGATTGGATTTGCCTATCTTAAATGAAAATTGAAGATTATTAATCCGATTTAGAATCACGTCCGAAACTTGAAAGGGAGTTTATTCATTATAACAGATATTGAGAAGTCAATCACTTTTCTTTATTTAGTACTGTATTGTGTCGCTAGTGTCTTAATGTGCGTAGATTTAACGATCATAATAATAACCTTCACAGAAGCTCCCATCATCAGAAAAATTCTTATTATTATCTTTATTATCATTAACGTCCTCATAAAACACACTTGCCTGTATCTCGGTTGATTCCTCCGGAACCGTTTCTAAATTAGAAAGAGTGGATGTATTACTTACCTCAAATTCTGGTAAAGCTTTCTTGATATCTGAAGATGATGTGCTTACCTCAACTTCTAGTAATTCTGAATCTTTATTGTTTTCTCGGGACGATTCTAAAAGATTCTATTCAGTAGATATACTTACCTCAGTTTCAAATAAAACATCTGAAGAATTATTCTGTTCATCAGTGAATTCTACATCAGGCTTTTTGGTGAAGTGATCTATAATCGTTTGAATCTGAGAATTGTTAAATTTTGAACTAATATTTGCACTATATGTTTTGATATATTAAATCTTACCCATTCCTATTTCTTCAAATAAATTGTCAATCCTTAAAGCTTTATGTGTTTGCTTACATAAAGTTTTGCGTTTGATGTCTGGTAGCTGTTTAACAATAAAATAATATACCTGACCTTTCGCTTTCTTTTCCTCAACTTTATTGCTGACCATAAAATCTCTATACATGTTTTTAATTTCTTTAGAAAACCAATATAACGTTTCTTCTCTATTGGCTTTGATCATACCAATTTTCACAACGCATGTGTTTTTATAGACTAATAATATCTCTATTATCTGGTGGCAACTGGGACATGGCTAGAATAGATGGAGTTATCAAAGTCTCATTATTTAGGCAAATCAAGTTCACTGAAATTTCAGTCACATGCTTTTCTTCCTTGGATAAAATCATTTCTTGGATTAAGCCTTGTTTATTTTTCCATCCATGGAGCATAGATATAGTATTCTGGGAAACTGAATATACTTCCTGACTAGATAATTCACATTGAAGCTTCTTTTTCCTATTTCTTTCTTTTATTATATTACCAATCATTTCTTTTTTTAGTACTGTAAATCAAAGAAATTGTCTACTTCCTTTTCTTTTAATGATTTAGACTTTATACTGTATATACAGTTGTAGTCAGAAATAAATTAGTGGCTTTTAACTTTTTCTCTTCCTGATATTTATCAGGATTTGAAGTAATATCAAATATATCAGTACTGAAGTGTTAATATCTTTGATATAAGTCTTTTAATCCATCACATTATAAGTTTGTTTATTTAGAGTATTATTAAAATTTGTTTTAGAAGATGATTAAAAATGTAATTGAAATTATTTTCTGTTCATTAAAAATAATCATTAGAATTTTTTTTACTAGAGATAATATTAACCAATAATTGATAGATTTTTCTGATATTATTTCTAATTTCTTTGGAACTGTCTCAGACAATAATTTATAATTGGATATGTTAGAAAAATCATTATTGTCTATAGTATTACTGTACTCTGGTAAATTATACTATTTTGTAATTGTTTCTGTTTTAATTTTGTGATTAACTTTAAGTTTAATATTTTCAATAGTAATATTTTTATTATTCTGTTCCAGTTTTATAAATCTGGATTCATATTTTTTCAAAACTTTTTTAATTTTATATTTTTAATTTTAAATTCAATATTCTCAGACTTGATTTTGATACTATTCTGTTTAAGTGTAATATCTTTATATGTGAACTTGAAAATCTATTATTCAAATAAATCAATTTTGGCTTATATGTTTGTTATTTTTTAAATAAAATATAGATATTTTCAAAAATTAATTTATAATCACTTTATTAATATAATATCATATATAATAGAAAATTATTTATTTATTATTTTTTTGATAATTTTTTTAATTAATACTTTTTTACTAGTTAGAAAGTTATCAATACTAATTTGATCCTTTAATAACCTAACAATTGTTTCAGTTATTTTTTTTATACTGCTTTAAAACACATTTAGATTTTCTTTGATTATAATTTTAAAAGAATTTATTTGATATTGTTGGGGGTGATAACGGTAAGTCTGTCGCTACGTCGCGATCGCCGATCGTGTAACGTCGAAAGAGGCGTGGAGATGTGGCACGAGGTAAGTGAAA